CAGAACTGCTAGCCTCTCGTGGCGCTTCAGAAGCTATCCTGCAAGCTGCTCAGAGCTACAAGTGTTTGGCATGTGCAAAGTACAAGAAACCCAATGATGCTGCACCTGCCGCCACACAGAAGGCACAGAACTTCATGAGATCGTGCAATCTGATGTGTTCTGGATCCGAAGGGGCTCCACCAAGTATGCCATCATGAGCATGGTTGACATGGCAACTCGATACACTGCCGCTTGCCTCCTTCGATCCGAACGTTCTGAAGAGTACATCAAGGCCCTCGAGCGCTTCTGGATTGCACATTTTGGTGTTCCTGGCCTACTCATGACGGACGAAGGCCGACCTTGGCTCAGCGGCATCATGGATGAGTGGACCACCGCTCATGGCATGCAGCATAAAGTGGCACCAGGCGAAGCTCATGAACGACTTGCCATCGTGGAGCGACGCCATGCACTGATCCGCAAGGCTGTCGGGATCTACCTGGACGATGTGAAAGTTGATCACGTTGAAGGCATCAAAGAGGCCCTCACCTTCGTTGTGCCACAGCTCAATGCCACGCCAATGGTTGCTGGATTTAGCCCATCTCAATGGGTCCTTGGGTATCAACCCAGCCTTGCAGGCGATCTTCTGTCCGATGCCGTGCAGCCCTCTCACTTGGTGGCAACGCATCCTTTGAGGACATGCTCAACAAGCGTCACAGTGCCAAGAAGGCCCTTTTGGACGCTGATGCTGATCGTCGACTCCGACGAGCTCTCCAGATGAAGTACAAGGGAACGAGTTCCGAGTACAGCCTGGGTCAGCGTGTTTGGTTCTGGCGTGACGCAAGGCAGCCTGACCTGGTCAAGATCAGATGGCTTGGTCCTGCTCATGTGGTGATGAAAGAATACCACCAGGACACCGACACTCCTCAGGTCTCCGTCTACTGGCTCGCCTTCAAGACGCAGCTGATCAGATGTGCACCACACCACATACGAGCCGATGTCAAGGGCATGGAGCATGCAATAGACGACGCCCAACTCGCCCTCAACACGGTTCGACAGCTGCGATCTCGTGGAGTTACCAGGTATACTATGACCTGCATCGACTGAACCGGCAGCACTTGGCTGATGTCGAAGATGATGAACATGGCACCAGTGACACTCTGGAGTCCGACAGCGATCATGAAATGGCTCCTCCCCGACAACGACCACGACTGTCAGTGTCACCAGCACCCCCCGACATCTCCCCATTGAGCCGGCGCCAGAGGCACCAGCCGCCGATGCGCAGGCATCTCCAGCGGCACCCACCGAAGAAGAGAATCAAGATCAAGTACAACCCGATGGAGCCCAGATTCCCATTCCAGCAGGTGACGTGTCACCCCTGTCAGGAATCTCCATCTCTGAACCCAGTGAAGAACCAGCGATCCCTACGGCAGCACCAACGCCGCATGCAACACAGTCGCAGCCAGCACTGGACCCTTCTACGGCAGCGCTGTACGAGACAGCTGGACCAGAGACTATCCAACAACAACGACTGCGGTTCAACAGACAGGAGACAATCAGCTTCGCCCCATGGCGAAACCGACATCATCAGCAAAGCCAACCATATGAACCACAACCACAAGCACCAACACCGCCTCCAAATGAGCCGTTTGGCGACCAAGGATTTGTGGTCGAGGACATCGATCCCGGCTGGCTCCCTGATGGCTGGTATGTCGATGAAGAAGGCTACATCAGTCTCACCGACCGCGCAACAGACTACTGGGAAGTCAAGGCTGGGTGTCTCATTCGACACCACGTGATTCCAAGGAGAGGCCGCCTGCGCATCGAGCACCTCCCAAAAGATTGTCCTGTGCCCCTCGAGCATCTGGGCAAGGTCAAAGTGACCATGGTGCATCAAACCAGTGGCAAGAGCCGCCTCTTCACTGACGACGGCACTGACACCTCAGCACCCGCAGATACAAAAGATGCTTGGACAGGCCTCACAGTCTTCCAAATCGATGGCAACACCCGCAAAGAGATGGCCATGTACTCTGGTCACCATGAGGCCTACACCAATGCAAAACAAGAAGCAAAGAGCCAGAAGCTGGCCCGCGCAAAGAAATTCAAGAAGGACAAGAATGGGGTGAATGAGCGTCTACTTGGACCTGATGATCGTGCCCTTTTCAAGGAAGCAAAGGTCAAGGAGCTGAAGTCCTTCTTCGATCATGGAGTATGGACCTTCCAGCGCAAGGATGAAGCTGACTGCACGGACATTGACCTCCAGGATGATTCTGAAGTGGTCCAAGCACCCCGATGGCAGTCCTCGGGCCAAGGCTCGCTTGATTGTTCGAGGCTACAACGATCCCGACGCCCTCGAAGGAACTGCGGCTACATCCAGTCCGACCACTACACGTTTGAGCCGCAGCATGGTCTTGTCCCTTGACACGGATTCCAGACTGACCCGTTTGTCTATCACAGAGGAATTGATTCCCTCCCTGTGGTAGGAGTCGTACAGAGCTCTTGCGTCCGTGACCAGGATGGGCTTGAGGCTCGAGGGCATCTGGAGAAGATCCTTCAAGGTGATTTTGGGGTTCATCGGATGCTCCCAGTAGCGGCAGGTGAAGTCGACCGCGTCAGCAGCCTGGCCACCGGCCTGGGCCTCTGCAGCCAATGAGCTGCGTGCCATCCTTGGCGTTCGAAAACTACGCCAGTCAACAACGTGATACTCGCCCTCCTCCGGCGAGTTGACAAGCTTCCGGTTCAGGAGCATGGAGATGTATCCACCTTGTGAATTGCCGTCCGAGCGACTTGCAAAACCTGCGTCAAAGAAGGTTACCAGCTGCAGCTCCGACGGGGGACCAATGTAGTTGTACAGAAGCCCAACGTCCTTGTTGTCTTTGCTGAAGCGAAGAGCTGGTTGCATTCCTGCAAGGTTTGAACCGTCGCTTTGGTGATCTGGCCGGAGAGCATGGATGTAGAGCACTGCAAATGCGGTGAGCTGTGAACCGCTGGCCATTGCAACGAACGCAGTAGGCCGCGTACCTGAGTGATTTCTCTCTCCTGCAGTGCTTCTGACATAGCCCTCTTCTTGTCGTAGGTGATGGGGGAGACCTTGGACAAATAGTTGCCCTGGTGCAGCTTCCGGCCTCCTTCAGGTGTGGACTGCAGCTCGCAACCACAGTACTCGAGAGTCTCCAGGTCCTCCTTCCACTCTCGAGAGGAGAAGTTGTTCTTCAGGTCATTGATGACTTCCTGGTAGCGAGGAGACAGAGCGCAGCCGCTGCCCAACATGTCGTCAACATGCATGATGACCATGCCAACCACACGTTCAGGACCAAGGCTGCTCACCTGTTGGTGTACCTCATCTTTCTCATCGTAGGTCTTGCTGTCGGTCTCGTAGATGAGGAAGCAGCAGGGATCCAGTGGATGTTGGCGTAGGCCTGCCCGAAGGAGTCGGTCCACTGCTTCAAGGAACCATCCTCTTGGGGCATCGATCTGTCCATAGCAGGGTTTGAGCAGCAGCATCGTGGAATCTTCATCAGCGCCAAGAAGCTGTGTGCACTCGGCTGGAAGCTTGACCCACAATTTGCGAGTTTGGGGTCTTCCTTGAAGAAAGGCCGTGGACACGTCGGCGGTCCAGGTGTTCCATTTCATGTTGGCTGCAAGGCGTCATGGACGCCTGAAGATGACCTGGGATCCAACATAATCATACCAGGCAGCAAAACGGAAGACAAAAGGTCAGAGAGCAGCTGCAATAGCAGAAAGCACACCCGAGACCTATGTGCAACAGAATGTGAACCACCATGAGAACGAGCACCACCAAACGACCGAAGACGTGCCGGACATCTTTGAAGTGCATGAGAACATGGACATGTCACCGAATGTGCAGCTCCCATCGAACATGCAGTCTGCACAGAATGAGCACCACACTCAGTATGCGTTTGTTGCACAGTATGCCAAGCCCATTGAGTATGCGCTCCTCATGCGCCATGTCGGCCGCCGCAAGAACTTTGACTTCAACAGTCGCACCAAGTATGTCTTGCTGCTGCTTGCGCTGCTGGCACCGACCTTAGCTGGTGCTCAGGACACATGTGCTCGACAGCCGGCCCGAGAAGAAGAAGACCAGGTCCTGCGGTTCTGGATCATCAGCTGCTTGGTACTGCAGCTGTTTGCTATGTTTGGAGTTTTTCTCCTCGGGCGCTATTTTGGCGGCAAAAGCACTGAGCCTGTGATCAAGTATGACACCGGCATCCAAAAGAACGAGCCCATAGTGAGTCAGAGGCTTCGAGAACAAGTTCGTGAGTTGAGAGATGAGCTACGCATCTCCAAGTTCGAGGCCAACAACAGCTTGGAAGCAGCTCGAGAGGCAAGAGCTGCGCAAGCGCTTTCTCAAGAAGAGGTCTTTGCGCTGAGCGACCTCGTCCTCAATGCCCAGTCTCTCGTTCGCGCCTTGGAGCGCGAGATGGATGAACATCCTGAAAAGTGCCCCTTCAACCATGAGATCTACATGTCCAAGAAGGGCATTTGCTGGCACCACCGCGATTGTCACATCGTGGAGCAGCTGTGTGAGGCCAACAAGATGGTGATGAAAGGCTGCTGCTACTGTGTTGCCGGCGGGACACCGCCCGACCGAATGGTGTACCCGAGAGGCTGGTGTCTGCGACAGGACATCCAAGCATGGCTCCAAAGCTATGCAGCTTTTTCCCATGGGTCGAGATGAAGAATTCCTCCCCATGTGAATCGCTCGCTGAGCGATGTGTTTCGTTCGATCGACAGACCCCGAACCGCTCTAGCTGGGCGGGCTCAAATCGAGTAAAACCGGCGCGGTGCGGCGTTTCGACGCCATGTGCTTTTTCGTGGTTCCGGACCTCGTTTGCTGGAACGCATTCGCTACACCACGTGTAATTATTTGCTTGTTGTGAATTGTGTATGTCTATCCTAGATGCCCATAAACTTATAATCCATTGCGTATTCTTGCGACCCCCAGGTTGACACGAAAGCCCGAATTCTTTGTATTCACCGTAGTGGTCACTGATTCCTTTGAGGAGCGCTTTGAGCTTCCGCAGCGTGGAGGATGGTCCGGTGGAGGTTGCGAACTTCTGAAGCTTGGAGCTAATCAGCAAATCCTGCTGCTTGGAACCAATTTCGGAAATACCTTTAAGACACAGGAAAGGCAAGCTGACAGGTAGTTTATATATGTTTGCTGGGTACTTGGTCAATGTCCTCGAACGCGGAAATATGTTTTTGCCGCTGGACATCAGGGTGCGCCAGACATCCTGAAATGCACTGGCTTTGTTTGCAACCAGCTAGTGGTGACCAGTCCAAAAGGATTGTCAGCCGCTGGGGGCCCGAAGGAGCTCACAAGCAATCATAAACACTCACAGTCAATCTGATTGCAGGCCAGTCCTCAGAAAGAGAGAACTTGTAGTACGAACGGGGGGATGAGAAGATATCAGCAAAAGTTTGTATTTCTTGCCATGTTTTTGTTTACACATGTCACGTCAGTGATGGCTATCTTGGAAGCCCCTGGTTGCAAGTACTAATGGAACTACTGCCACTGCCACAGGCAGTGTTGGGAAGTGTGACTCGTTTGCAACTAAAGGTTGCTCAAGAGTTGCCACGGTGGCCGAACGCGCGCATGTAGAAACCACAAGAAGTCCCCGCATGTTTTGCTCCTGCTTTGTGTTAGTTAGTTTTGTGCCATGTTCAGGGCTGAACAATTTTTGTTGGCCATTTGGACTCAGCGCTAGTGCCGCTAGTGCAGAGTGATGGGCCACCATGGACTATAGGAACAGGGCTACATAGAAGAGGGCAAGCAAGTTGCGTTTTGGTCACGACTGAAGGTGACCGAATTCCAGATTCACATTTGACCCATGTTTGGAGCATTCCCATACCCCAACAGCTAACAGCTAGTGGCTAGTATGCCTTCAGTGGCACAGCAGACCAGCCAGCAGCATCAAGTCGTTGTACCTTGAAGCCTGACTAGTTGGAGGCCTTGCAGGCTGTCAGTCATATGATTATATTTACTTACTTAATAGCAAGGCAAAGTGGCTTGTGGCGAATGCAATTCTTGCACCCAGTGGGCCCTGTCCCAAATGTGCGCAGTGCGCAGAAGACTTGGACACCTTCAGGTCCGCAGATTTCGAGCTGGTGTGCTTGATGTTATTTTGGTGATCTTCTGGGCGATATAACTTCAGGGGGCACTGCAAGAGCACTTCCAGTCTTTCATGTGGCATGTGCGGTGTCGAAAGGATAGTGTCTTGGCGTGTTCCCTAGGTGAGACAGTCAGCGCGGCAATCAGCGCATGGCTGCCTTCACGAAGGCCTAAGTGGAGTTGTAAGTTGCACCCTTTGTTGATCTCTTGTTTTATTTCCGCCCTAGGCTTTTGCCAGATAGACACTCAGCCTGGCCACTGGCCGCAATTTTTGCAGCTGGGAGGTTGGGTTGAGATGTTCCAGTGATCTGACATGCTTCGGTCACGCAAGAGCTTGCTTTGCAGGGCGTCTTTGTACTGTTAAATGGACTTACCTGCTTCGTGCGACCGGGAAGGGTTTCTGGTCCAGAGTCCCGGCCAGGCTGGGAAGAACTTCTCGGTTTGCGAAGGCCAAGGCTGGTGTTGGGAAGGTTCAGAAGGTTATATGATGTTATAGGCACAGAATGAGCACAAGTTGCATCAGCATTCTCCACCAAATTTGAGATCCACCTAGCATGTACTTGATCTCCCTGGCTGGTTATTTATGATTGTTTCCGTTGCCTTGCGCCAGACGGTTCATACAATTAGTCAAACCCTGCAAAACTACAAGGTTCCTGCCCGCCGTCAGGGCTTGAACGAAACGGAGCTGGTGTCCTGGCCTTGGCAACAAAGTCAACGAAGTCATACCAATGATGCATGTTGCAAATGCTAAATCCACACTACATTCAATATTAACATAGTCATCCTGGATTAGATGGAATATAGAAAAAATGGTAATGTTCTCGGATTGGTTAAGATTCCATCATCTCCAGGATGCTTGCAATCTTACCCGGAAAAGCGAAAAGAGCAGCAAGGGCAAACGTGGACATGGACCCACTCTCCCACAGAAAGCAGAAGAGTTGCAACCTCGTGTGAATTAACAAAGGACTGATGTCCACTCACAATTTGGCCTTTCCCATGCGGCTGTCTCAATGACTTGAGCTGTTTTGCTGTGGATGCATCGGTTGCGTTTGATGTTTGGGATGAAGCTGCGCGGCATGTTTGGTTGAAAGATTCATTTTCTGTGGATTGGGCTCTGGGTGGTAGCGAGATGATGCTTCAACAAGTTGAAAATGCCCTTGGTTCCGACATCTTGTTGCGTTTCTTACCACAGGTTTCGCGAAGCTTTCGAAGCTGAAGCTCAACGTTGCGAACTCCTGGCACAGCAACTGCAGGACAGCAAGAAAGTTTGATTAATGGCTATTGGCTAGACGTCCGCGCAGAAAATCCCAGAACCAAGTTTCAAAGGGCCCAGCCTGTGTCAGCTCCAGTTCGTTGAACCCGAGATCTGAGTGAGTTGAGAGAGAAGCTGATAGCAGTGAACGAACGCGCATAATAGCGGCAAAGCGCTTCTTCATTTTTTGATTGTGGTGGTGGGTTTACAAATGAGACCGACATTGCACGTTGAATATCTGGCTTATCAACTTATCAACGCCTTCACCCAGTCCTACCATGCACCAGGTCCAGTTTCTCACTCTCATCCCGGGAGGAGGTCTTCGCACGAAAACAGGTGGAAGGCGCACATGGGCTTGTTAATGGCCCAACGATCAGGAGGGCAAGAGTTTCGCATGCACAACTCCGCACAACCAAAGATATGATACAACCAGATGCACCACGTTACACCGTTACACCTAAAGGAACTTCTGACAGGTGGTTGTCAGCCTCTGTGAAATGTGACATAAAAGCATGCCACCACGGTAGTTTAGTTTTGTTGCAGCTTTACTTGCAAGGGATGTGTGTGTGTGAGATGTTGTTCCACAGCCGTTTGGAACAGCAAAGGAGCCAAAACTGTCAAAATGCGTGGAGACTGTGAGTATATATATATATACTATAACCGCTGTAAGATTGACAGGCGGCAAGGCAATCGAGACAAACTCGGTCGAGGCCACAGCATACTGGAGTTCACGATTTGGCATGGGATATAGTGTTTGGCGGTTGTTTCTAGTCTAGGTTTGAGGCCATTACTACTAGTAGCTAGAAGCTACTAGGTTGGAGGCCATCGCTAGTAGGTTGGAGGCCATTCCTATTAGTTTCAGTTGCAATTGTTTTCCTTGGGCGATTGGGCCACGAGACCTGAACTGTATCATGGTGCCACTGAAGGCCGCTTATCTGCAATCCTGAGACTGAGCTAATGATTTGTTGGTGAAGTGTATCTCTGCAATTGGGTGCAGAATCAAACAATCACGATAATCACGTGCCAAGCTAAAGGACACAATAGAACCACTGTGAACGACAACCCATGAAGTCCGAGAGTGGAAGAGTTGCACACGGAGGCACCGGTGGCTGGATTCTCACCAGACCTCCCTGGCGGAAAGGCGTCGCAGGGAGTCCGAGAGGAAACGAGAGGAGTGGAGTGAGCACACGTAACTTAACCTCCTCCCTTTGTGATGGATTTCGATATTTGTGCGTTGCATACTTCATCCGAGAAGTTTTGAGGACGATGATTCTATGATCGTACGAGGTCCTTTGATGACTGGAATCCCGTGTTCCGTCTCCACATACTCTTGCGGACACCCAGGACAAAGACAACCCAAAATACAAAGAAGGCATATTTTTTTGTCGAGGCGTTCCTGGCAACAGGAGTTAGCTAGTCCATGTCACTAGCAAAAATACACCATAGTATACCTATATTATATATACATATTGTATTTATATACATATGGCTCATTGCCCGCATGTAATTATAACCGTATTCCTAACATCCTGAGGATCTTGGTACGGTAGTTTAGCTGAGGTGGCAGGATGCTTTCGAGGTGGGCTGGGTCTTGGACACTTTGCGATTCACTTGAGAAGAGCTTAGCAAAACAGCTGGTCAATTCGGATCTGTAACGAAGCGATAAGACAACAATGGTTTTTCTCCTTTGGTTGTGCCAGCACATTCCGGTGCAGGGAGTTGAAAGTGTTGATCCCAATCGCAGATTCCAGCTGACTTGGGTGTCAGGCTGCGAAGGACTTTGCCGAGTCTCTTGAGAAGCAACTGGAAGAGGCAAATCAGATGCAAAGCAGCTGTATTTTATGGTCTTCCCGGGTGAAGTAGGATGATTTTTTGCAATTCCTACCAGTTGGTTACATTCAGTAAGTTTGAAGGTCATTCATGCAGTCAGTTGACTTGCAAGCGGGTGTGTTGAATTAATCGCACTTGCAATTTTGGCTTACTTGCTGCGCTCATGGCCACTCTTCAACGATCCTTGAAAGATTCCCACATGCCAACCCATCTAAACCTGCATTTGTACCCTGTTGTGTGCTGTTTCAAGCTTCAAAGAATGGCCATTGTGGTGAACTTGGGGGAAACAGAATGCAAACAGCATCGCCGGAAGCTCTTTGAACCACTTGGGCAATGCGGCTCATTTCTCATGGCTGTACCTTTCCTGGCGGCCAGCATTCTGGTGGTGCATGCTGCTCCGATCTCCAATGTGCCATTACAGAATGTGCTCCCCAAGCTGAATTTAGAGGAGAGCTGCGGTGTGCTGATTGGGGCAGTGGCTCGATTTCTTGCTGCTTGATTGGCGTGTGCAAGCACAACACTTACTACAGCCCACCAAGTTTTTCATTCAATCTTTATCTACCCATTTGTTCACATACATGTTTTTCAAATGAACGACTATGGGACAGTAGAGCGCATCCTCCTGGTTGCCATGACATGTTGTTTTTCTGAGTGAACTTGCATGACCGAAAGTATCCCCAAAGTTGTTCCAAAGCTCCTTCCTTGAGCTTGAGCTCAGGCTTAATACCTGTGGAGGCACATGGCAGTGGAGTGTCATCAGTTTGCCAGTGTGATGCATGTCCTTTACTAGGCCTTTTGCTTGTCCAAAGGGGTGCGTTATAGGGAAAGGTAGCTTGAACATGCTGTTTACTGAACGAAAGGATGCTGTTGTTCTGCATTATTCAAGAATGCAGTTCAAGTCGGTTTGGATCAGGATCTTAAAATAGATGTGTTTTCCAGTCCATTCTTCGGGGGTGGCATCCGTTCCTCGCTTGTAGTTGTATTCCTTTTGCATGCCAGTCATCATGGTTGATGATGTGTTTTGCATCATTTCTTCCGTCTCCATCACTAAATTTTTGGCTGAGTTGTGTTGTTTCACCTCAACAGGCGAGATCAGGTTGGATGACGATGAGTTGATGAGGTGAGCATGAACTAATATGGTTGCGCCATGACGCTAAACATAGACACATGTTTAGGCTTAGGATGTTTAGGAATATACCGTGTTCACCCCTCTATGTGACCTACTATGCATACAACAGACGGAAGGGGATGTGCTCAAAAGAAGCGGAGGAGAGAACGTCCAAAAGAATCAGAACGGGTAGAATGAACAGATGACAAAGGATGAGGTCGGGATGAACCAGAAGATCCAGAAGGCAAGCTCAGTCAAGAGGAGAATAGAGGAGACAGAATGGAGTCCCCGGAAGATAATGTAGGTCAGGCGAGGCCAGCCAGGCAGGCTCTTGCAGGCCCATGGACAGATAGCGAGACCTATTGGGGTTCTTACTTCAAAATAGGAAGAGGTGCCTCTGTGTGCTTTGGGGCCTAGCTGCAGGGTGCCGCTGCCAGATGTCTATGGCTGTGTGCTTTGGAGCGTGTTGCGGCCAAATGTTGATGGCAGCACACGCTTTGGAAGGCTGGGTGCTGGTGCTGCTGCAGGGCCGCTGCTAGGTGTCTATGCCACTGTGCGCTTTGGAGCCTGGTGCCGGTGCCTCTGCAGGGCGCTGCCCATAAATATTTATGCTAGTTCGGGTGTATGCTGACTTGTCCTGGGGCCTTCAAACTTCGAACATTTTATTCGGATCCAATTATATACACACCTTGGGTTCTGAGGGAGGGAGTGTTTAAAGTACATTTGTATCCGAATGCGTTTCGGTGCGGCAAGAAACTATTGAAGTTTATCAGGCGCCTTTTGTCGCATTACTGCCGCAGTGTCACACCGGTAGTGCGCTTCGTGTTCCTGCGTGTTCAGAGTTCTCTCGGCACCAGGCCACCTTCCAGGCGAAGCCAAAGCTCAGCCAGGTCAGTTGGGCCTTTGGCACACCAGTTGGGATTTACCAGAGGGAGGCCCTAGTATGGAAGGAAGGTTTGTGAATGTTGTTCGCAGTTGGCAAGTTGGCCAGTAATTCTTTAAATAATGCTGCAAGGTGCCTGGAACTATATACTCCTTGCTGTGTACTTTTGGCCAGTCGTGGCTGTTGATGGGCTATTCCGTGTTTCTTTGCAATGTCTACCCGGTGGCCGTGTCATGGCTCAAATGCATGGACATTATAGGGATTAGTACAAGAAGATGGTTCAATGATTACAGACCCAAGAAATGTGCAGGGAAAGCAATGACAACCAACGTGATTCAGTTACAAGATGGTCATTGTGGCAACCCACTCAGCAGTAGTTTTTCCCTCCCATTCCATTCGGAGGTTCCAGTGAGGCCATGAGATGGTCGGGAGTCTCCGAGCGTTTATCGGTCCAGTCCGAAAAATCAAAACCTCAAGGACCTCCTCGTCAGGGCCGGCAAGCCAGTCAGACCAGCATGGACAGCGTGGAGGAGATTTTAAATCAGACTCGCAGGAGATCGATGGAATATCGGGATTCACAGGTTGATATCTTTTTGAAAGAGAACGGCTTCAGAGAGGTGAATGCTCCCCGTCCTGGCCTATGCCTATGTGGGCAGGAGAGGATTTATCCTATCCATTTGGCCGCAGTGAAGGGTAATCACCAAGTGTTGCCGCTGGGCAAGTTCTTATTTTTGCATGTTCACTTGTCCGATGTGTAATCCAGATTGGGTTGATTTGTGGAGGAACTGTAAAGAGTCTAAGGCACCGTTGTACTTTCTGAGCCAACCGCATGGCATGAAGAGATCACCATCAGCCTTTGAGCTTAGGCTGATGCTGCTGTCTGCCAATGCCGACCCGTTGCAGGAAAGCTCCAGGGGCCGGACGCCATTCCACTTTGCCAAACATGCCAACAAGGACCAAGCGCACCTTTGCTATTGCGGTATTGCTGTTCCACAGTGTCTCGTAGAGTTCTACGTATATACAATATAGATATAATTGTTACAATGTTTCGCAATCCCTATGCCACTCCTGCGCCTGATTTGGCGCAGGTTGCTAGCTTGCAAGTCTTTGGTCCATCGTGTTTCGTGATGGAATAAAAACAACAGGCTACCAGAAAATGGCAACCGTTGCAAACGGTTGACTTGAAAGTGCTCACCAAGCGCACCAGCAGCAGCAGCAGCAGCACCAAAATCAGCGTCACCGACAAGTAGTTGCATGCCACCCTGCAGTATACTAAGGATCGGACACTGGACCTTTCGGACTGGCAATTTCATGTGCTCCGAATGCAGGCTTTTGGACTCACATCGAGGTCACAGCACATGCTTCATGTTTCCCCATGTTTCCACAACCTCCAGAGCTCAACACGTTATGGCGTGCTCTTTGCTGCGCCACCAGGACGGTTCGCACAAGGGCGTTTTGGAATTGCTCCAGCAGCTCACCTTTTCCCGCACTAGGTCCTTCACTGACATGGAGACACCTTCCCAAGAGCATGAAGAAGGTGCAGATGAAGAGGCCCCTGCGCAAAATACGCTGGGGAATTTAGACACTTTGCTGGCTGAAGAAGTGCAAAAGGTAGACATGTGATGCCAAGGGGCATTGCATTCTTGTTCTGCCTTGGACCATGCAGGGTGGGGCAAAATTATGTGCAATCAGCAGTCTGCTGGATGATTGCATGGTTTCAGTAGAGGAATCGCCCCCTCTCTGGCGAGCGGCCAGTTCTGTCACATTTGTATTTTTCACAGGTCCATGCGATGGCTTCTCAAGGAAACCACTACTGCATGACGACGATGCGTTTGCGCAAAGGAAAAGTACGGAGAGTTGCCAGTAGAGTTGCCACATGTGCCGCTGGACTTGACTTCGGACCCTCTATAGTGACTATAGTGTCGCATCAGTGTCGCCAACACATGGCTGAATAGCTTTGCACGTCCTTAGCCCCATCACTCCAAGCCCCGAATGAAACGTCTTTTCATGACTTGAGCTGAGAGAGTGTTATTACGCGCAAACAGCATCAAGCCTAAAATATAATTCCAATATATTCTAATTACCCATCTCCCCAGCAATAGGCCTGTAGAAGCCCATCCATGAACTGCACAGGCTCACAGCCTAGTACGCGGCGAACACTTCGCTTTTGGAAAGCTCTTGGCCATTTGAGGGTCAAGAGCTTGAAAGCCAGAGAAGCACCTGCAGCTAGGCGAACGAAGCTTGAGTTTTTTTTTTCTGGCCGAATGACTGAAGGAATCCACTCTGAGTGACCGCCAGTTTGACGCGGTCATTCTATATGAATCCTTTTGCTGGTTTCCTCCATGGTTTGGAGGCGCTTTGGCTTTGGCATGTCTTGCTTGTTGGGGCATTGACGTGACCAATAGTCGTTTGCAATGAATCGTGCCTGTTCTTTTTAGTCACTTGTGCACTGAACCCGGGTGAGGCCTCTCTTGGCACAACTCAGGGTGCATCACGGATTGGTCCTGCATGATGCTGCAATTGTTGTTCGTGGTTGACATGTTGGTGAAATTGGCATAGTGAATTCGATGGCTGTAGACAGATCGTGTTACACAAACTCCGTAGTGTTGGAACTAAGAATTTGCTTCTGTAGTCTTCGCACTTTGCATATTACATCACACCTAATCCAACTTACTCGTATCAACCGCTCCTTTTGTCGCCCTACTGTGCTCGCCTGAGCCCTGAGGAAGTGGACTCCCAGCTGATATTTGAATTTCCCAAAGGGAGTGTGGTGGGCCAAAGCCAACGCAGCTGTGTGCTGGTGGCTGGCCTGTGGCGCTTGCCAATTTATCAGCCAAGGCGATCTGGTTGAGCTCTATGTGCAGGAAACCAGAGTAGTCGTAGGAATACGGTTTTCCTGGGGATCAACAAACTGTGGTTTACCTTCGTGCACTTCGGTTCTGTGGCTTTGGGAAGGTAGCAAGGAAGGAACAATGGCAAGGCAAAACAAGTAAAGGGAAGAAGAGAAGGGAAGGAAAGGATGAACATCAAAGGCCATCCAGGGCCCAGGTACTGTACAGCGGAAACACAAGATACCGGATACCGGGCAGGCCAAAACAAAAGCAACAAAATCCAACCAAACAGCCAAGGGGGTCAACATGGCCAGACAAGCTTTCAGTAGTTCCTTGGTTACATATGTTAAATTGTCGAGGAGAAACCTTCGTGTTCGTGTTCCTTTTGCCCTTTATTGTTTCCTTTCATCCTTTTCCGTGTTTTCATTCGTCCATGTTGAATGCTTTTGCAGGAATCTGACCAGCTTGGTTCATGAGAGCCGCGAAGGGTGGGTCACGCTGAGTGCCGAAATGTCACTTGGCGACAATCGAAGGTTGAGGCCTTTGCTTGCGAGAACGGCTCCAGTGGAACATGGTAGAACGGGTTTTGTCAGTGCACGCAAGGACCGGTGGCCCGCGCTTCTTCTCCCAAGTGGCGGACGGGGAGGTGGAGGCTCTTTCGGCAGCTAATGCCAGACGTTGCGGAGTGGAACCATTCCCGGAGGTCTCTTTGCTTTGAATGGGGGCCCGGAAGTCAGCAAGACCTTTCCTAATGACACAAATCCATGAAGGAGCCTAGTTTTGTTGGGGTAATTAAAGCCCGACAAGTCAGCAGAATTTGGGTTGACAATTCGATGCAACCCACCAACCAACACAAATTTGTTTGAAGGCCTTCCTCACTCTCTCGTGCGGGAGAACATGGGGCAACTTTTGGTCTATATTGCGTTGTATCAAGTAATGATATATCATGTTTGAATAGGGTTGGGGTCACTCGAGGGAGAAAAGGCGATTGCTTACAGAACAGGGGTTCCCTTTGAACTGCATATATAAATATAGGTGAAGGTGCAAGGTCAAAATCACCTTTCAGAGGCCCCGGTGCCCAGCAATCAGTGTTTTTTATTATGCTTGCCTTCACTACCAGGGTGTAGGACAATAAGAGGAACGCTTTTTTCGAGCAGATCACTTCAGGATCAGTCTAGCCGTCCCATTCTGGTTGTGAGTGAATATGGAAATACCATGAACTAGAATCTCTTTGCTGATTACAAGAACACGCATCCCCCAAAAAGCATCCAGTGGAGTTATTTTTAATACGGTGTCCCCGAAATAGGGGAACCCCAAATAGAAACCTCCGAAGACCTTCACAATCGAACAGCTACTGCAATTGGCGAACAGGAAGCATGCATGTGTAAATTGGAGCTTGCAGGTGAAAGACACGACAGGTGGTGATTCTAGTAGGCACCTATATTAATATATATTAACTATATATGTTTAAAAAGAGCACCAGAATTCGTTGCGGGGTAGTAGAAAGTAAATGTGGCAATTCAAAACCAATGGCAAGCTTCAAGTAGGGGTTTCCAACATTGAGATTCTCTTTAGATTTCTTTAATACGTATTCATGTTTCAGATTAGCACAGGTAGCAGTAGAGAAAGCATTGCTTCAAAGCTGGACAACTAATTGAAACAAAAGTAGTACAAATAGGCAAACACGTTGTAGTTTTTATCAACGTGTTTTCCTATGTTTTCGCAATTGAATTGAGAGAGAGTGAGAGAAGAAACACGAGTAGTATAAAAAGTAGGACAAGGGTGTTTTTCTTTTGTTTGTTGGTCCTGTGTTCGAATTTCCCTTCACTTGGGTTTTCTATTTTATTATGTAGTTTGTGTTTTTTGACTGCACCCAGTGCAAGCTGATGAAATAAGTAACTCCAGGAGCTTAATGTACTTTCGCACGACTTAAGTTTTACCTCCGCTTTGTGTGCTTTAATTTTCTTAAAGATGTCTTCCCGAAACAAGAGGGTTTCTGACTCCTGTCGAAGGGCTTGTTTTCGACTGTCCGGTTGTGCTGCGTACTTGGGTCGCCTCTTTTGATTGTGCTGCGTGCTTGGGTCGCCTCTTTTGATGTGCTGGGTTGCTTGGGCCGCATGGTACGCGATGCCTTTGCATGTCTCTAGTTTTTTCCCGTTTGGTTTTTCTATATTTTGCTTTTTCGAGATTTCATTGGCCTGCGAATGAGACAAAGAGTGGGTGACAAGCTCAAATCCATTGGGGGTCTTTCCGGTTAGAAGAAGAGATGCCAGGGTTAGGATTGATGGTAGGGTTTGGCAAGGTGTTGCACCAGAACTCATGGATGCATATTCACGTGAAGGTACTGTTTTTCACCCCGTTGCATGGAAGTTGGTGTTCCTGTGTGGTATTCATTGAGCACAAGAGCCTAGCCAGACTGACACGTGAAAGAAAAGAGGCGGATATTCTTCCACAGGGTGTTTTTCATTTTTTCTTGTTTGGAGCCTACGCTGTGATAGTTTGCACTGCTGGGTGTGGTAAATTCAACACCGAGCGTTTGCTTGTTTTCCCTGTTGCGTCAGGTGCAAGCGATATATAGTCATAACCTCACCCAGGGGCTGCATTGCATGCAGTGCCGGTTTCTTCACTCGATTTGGTATGCAAGAGCTTGAGGGAGAGAGGCAGCAGGTGCGGAGTAATTCTAAGGACGGCCTGGTCTTTTTTCAACAAGAGAGCGAGCTGGTAGCCAACAGAGCGTGCGAAAAGGACGTCCACAGCTTATGCAAGGTCAGAGCCCCAGCGTTTTTGCTTCACCCAATAAGTACTGTATTTCATCCATTGGCTGGAGCCAATCCCAAACTACTAATACGTGTCCGTTTACTGTATGCCATACTGTATATCATATGGGACTATCGGCATCACTATGCATTGCTTCTTAGGTTGTGAATGGGACCCGTACAACCTCCTTTATCCATCTTTATCCACAGATGTCCTGGACCGCTGGGGGTTGCGGCCAAGGCACCTGAAGGATTTCTGAATCTCAACGAGAACATGCTAGAGGCGCTTGAAACCAAGGAATCCTTGAAGAAGGACCGAAGGAGAACTTTCAACATCAACTCATGGAACCAGCACTCCCGACCTTGGCGTTTATGTTGAAAGTAGACTAAGTAGACTATATGTGCGTTGGTGACATGATCCATGGAGAACATGTTGGGAGGACCTTTGGTTGGTGGTCTCCTACACACCTTGGTGTTCACCATGCCGTGACTTTCTGGACTATTTGAGCGCATTTGTCGGGAAAAATCTGCCCTCACAAAGCCGAATGCACCTGGCTGCCGTGAACTGCCATGATCGGCAGATCCTCAGCTTCACCACTCGGGCTTCCTGAGTCCTAATTGAAGCGGATTGATCAATATATATATATATATATAGGCTCTTGGCCCTCCTCCAATCAATGCATCACAACCCCTGCCTGCACCTTTGAAGACTCAGGAAACTTTGCGACTCGTTGGGCCTGATAGGCCATCCTATGCTCAGCACGTTTGGCGGCACCTTGATTGTTGCCAGATTTCGGGCAACGTTCCCATGTTCTAAACCAACTGCAGCTTCGCAATGTGCAGATTCACCTTGAGGACAGTGACCCGTTCTTTCCCAAGCCTCATGCCCCAGTTTGCAGGACTGGCTCAAAGCAACTGGTTTCAACATCCAATGGCTCAAACTGACATGCGCAGTCACAGCACAGCAGCAAATGCAATTATGAAGTGTAGACAGTGTAGACAGCAATATTATATTTGGACCGGGTATATTATATAGGTATATGACTCGGCCGTGGACATACCGTAAGATCCCCACCCCAGCCTCGACCATGATGGTTCGGGCACCAAGGCAAAGGCATCGAGAAGATCTTGGACGCCTGGAGTTTCCGTCAAGCCGCCCCTGAGTGGCGCAAGGACCGTTGGACCTTCCCCTCAAATGTGTGACTTCACGGCACCGGTTGGAGGGCCGCCACAGTCTGATGCCCCCAATGGTGGCGCTGGTTCAACTCAATCCTGCTACGTCGGAACATGATCCCAGAATATACCAGAAGCGCAATCGTCTTTAGTCGTGCGTATTTGCATATGTGTGCTGTTTAATTAAGTCCTTCCATGGCCAGGTCCCTCCTCCTCGAGATTCTGCCAGAAGAGTTCAAGCTCAAGAAGCCCAGGAACTGCACCCCGTCACGGCGTTGCTTTTCGGACGCACTGTTTCATGAGGGATTTGTAATGAGGTGGCAGCGAGAAATCCAGCATTTGGTTTGACTTGTACGAGTGCATGAGACGCCTTGTACTGTGCCTTGAGCGAACAAGCCAGTAGTTGTCCGATTCAGCTGGGGAACCAAAGAGCACCTGACGAGTCAACTTTGTCTGAATCTATTTTCAGGTTCTTCGCTTGAGACGCCAATGCTCAGTGGTTTGGAAAGTGTGGGACAAGACGGGCAGTTTGGTCCAAGACGCGCGAGCACTTGGATCGTGGCAGATGCGTTGCAAGGTCTGATGGAATGACACTAGATCTGCATAGAAGCAGGGCGAGGCCCAAATGAACTCAGAATTCAACCGTAACCTGGGCAAATGCAGCCAATCGGGAAATCAGGCCAAAGATTCAAAAGGGGGGTGAGGTTCTAGTGACGCTTGGGTACAGTGTAGTTTGCTAAAGTCAACTGCATCCCAGGCTTGGACTTCTCAACGCCTTTCATCACCTTGAGACAAGTCAGTGCGGTCGAAGCCTTCCTCGCAATGGTTGACCAGGGGCTGGCAAAGCAGCTGCCGGACTTAAATCTGAATGTGAAGGAACACTTGTCGCATCCGATCAACACGCTCCAGAGATTTTTGCAGAAGGTCTTGAGACAAGGAGCCTCGTTGGGAGGCAGATATGCGGTTTGCCAATCAGAGTGGGGGGCAGAAGTGAAGAGCTTCAAGCAGCAGGTGGACACCACCAGGGAATTGCTATTGCTACCCCACCGTGCACAGGTGAATGAGACACGACACTGTGATGGTTCATGCCGTGCATGGACACTCTTGCATGGCTTGTTCCGAGCTTAGCTCTAGTGAATCTATTGTGAATCTTTGTGAGCCATGACCAGAGGCCGTGAGAGCCAGATGGTAAGATTGTAATGTCCAAGAATGGCCAAGCATGCAGACAAGTCATTCACCAAGGTCTGTGTGGGGCGCAAGTTCCATCGAGGCTCGAGAGTTTCTACATGCTCTTTCGGAGATGTTGGAGATCCCGGCATCACCCTTGGCCCACGCAATATCCGATGAGGATTGTGCTGCAAACATGTCCTGGATGGTGGAGGCCCTTGCCACTGATCGGTCTTTGGATTCAATTTCACGTACGTCAGTAGCAGGTAGAGCCAAGTAGACATTATTGCAGGTTTGCTCACTTTGTTTCTATGGGCTGAGGGCTTCAAACATGTTTTCCCGAAACATGAGTAGGGACCACATCTCTCTCGCGCTTGTAGGCAATCGTTGCACCACCCAACACAAAGCTTAGGTACTTCAATTCTGGAGAAGACTCCTTGATTTTGTTGCTTTGGAAATTGCATGGTGCTTCATCTGCATCCAAAGCCTTTCAATGTAGCCCCGTCCGCGACATGCGTTGGCCCTCTGGATCCGAGTGCCCCTCTTGCTGGGGCCGTTGCTTCCGGCAGAATCGTCTTTGTTGGGCCCCTTGGGAAGACCAGCGCTCAAGATCAGGAGCCTGTCTAGCGACTAGTGTTTGCAAGCGTTTTGTTATGTGCTGTTTTTTGAATTCCGCCCTCATTAAGCTATAGACGTCGCCATGCAAGCTCAAAATCAGGAGCTTCAGTTCCAAACATGGTGGATGCCTCTCCGAATCATCCACAAGTGGTCCAGTATCTTCGGGGCTGGTATGGCGGCGCCCTCCCAGTCGAGCCGGCGCAAAAGGTCGTACTGCCTTGCAATCGTGTTCGCGGCAAGTGAATGTTAAAATTTAAAACGGCATATAGCGAGCTCAAGCTCAAGCTTGGTTGCGGCATCCTTTTGGCAGAAAATGCAGGTTAGAAGTGCTGCGCGAGAGACCCTGGTTGATGCAAAAGCGGGTGCCTCATGACCGAGCGTGGTAAGTGCATGGCGATGCACCCAGGGTCAAGGAACACCTTTTCAGGCACTTTGCGGTAACGTTTTAGGCGTTCAATATCTACCTGGCTACCTGGGTTGAAGTCCAGCATTGCCTGCCACTTGAGCCCAAGGTGGAGAGCACTGCTTCAGGCCGGGCCAAGTTTGGGAGGCCTTGGAAGGATGCTGTACACCCGATACACCGTACATGCGATTCAAGTGCAGCCACGGGTAGCCTCTTAACCACTCAAAGTATCTCAAAGTCACAAGGCATAGATGACATTGTTCTGTCATTGACTCGACATTGATGATGGCCAAGATTGGGGCTTTTACAGGATTGCATGTTCATAGGGAGAGCGAGGTAGATCGATTGATGAAAGGATATGAAAGGGATTGGTGAGTGTTGGAGTTGCTGTTCTTTTGTCTCGCTAGCGTTTTGCTCAAAGATACATAGCAGGGCCGCACCGAAGAAGCCAAGCCATGGCAAAGAGAAAGGTCATGGTTGATGTCATCAGTGACGTGGTCTGACCCTTCTGTTGGATTGGCAAGCGAAATCTGGAGGGAGCCATGAAGCAGCATCTTGTCTTTTTGCTCCACTGCATTTAAGCCTTGACGTGTTGTTTTGCATGCAAATTGCTCTGCACTGATTCCTGGTGCAGTGGCGTGTTTGTCGAGACAAGCTTTTGTCAGCAGCCTCGCCGGTCAAACGAACGGAACCCCTCCAACTTCATCTCAACATCACATAAAATCCTTCCTTAGACCCCAACAAACCTGTTACAGCAAAAAATCATTCTTTCTATATAGGAGGCGGGAGTGGGACTGGTGCATTTCTTCGATGCAGAACGCCACCACCACAACAGCGCAAAAGTAACAGAGCTCGCTTCCAGGGCTGTTGTCGTACCGCTTTGCATTGCAGACTGCGACAAGGTGCTCTGAGGTGGATTTCGAGGTTCGATGGCTGCCCTTTCAACTGGATCCCGCCGCATCTGAGAAGGCGTCTAGTCGCATGGAGGCCGTGGCTGATGCAGACAGTTTTGTAGTTTTGAAGATTGAGGCCCCACTGGAAGGCACTAGTCAATGCGGCTTCGAGCCTAGGCCTAGAGGCTTCGATGGGAGATTTCTGTAGCTTTCTCCAGAAGAAATGCTAGTAGCACCTGCGATGACGCAACCCGGTTACTATAGAAAACATGCTGGGTTCTTGGAGACTAGATTTGAACTTCATGGAGGCTTATGCAAAGAAGTTCGGCAAGGGGAAGGAAGAGGTGAAGCAGATGGGAGCATGGATGCGACTGGGTTCAGCCTTGGCTACCCTGTGGTTTACTCATGTCAGTTCTTGTCACAAATTGCGATTACTTATATGCGTGCTCGTTTCCATCAGTCACATGCTTCGTGATTCCTGCATGGGGGAAGCCAGGCTAGATCCCCCGAGGGTTGCTTGGGAGAAGCGTTGTCGATTGCATTCGCTGCTGTGCATCACGTTTCGAGGAAATCCAAGTTCGATGCCGCAGAATTGCCCTACAACTTCACAGAGTCTGCTTTGGACCTTTGGCAGTCAAGTGCGGGAACTGTGGATACCAAGTCTGGGTTTAGTCATTATAGTTGTCACCACATAATATATGAATATTATAGATGAATATAGATTGCATGCACCAACCCATGCCCGTAGGTGGTTAGGCCAAAGTGCATGCAGGATTATGGTTCTGTAATCCCATGGTGTCAACACTTTCATAACACTAAGGTGGCATGTTCTATTTTGTGTATCTTATTCCAGCCTCTGATTCAATCTCAAAGTGCCTGGCCATGGAGGTGGATCTACATAATTAATCAGCTTATGCATTTGTGGGGTTCTTTGCGGACCTCACCTGTTTGAGATGGCCCATGCATTAGATACCAGACAGCCAAGGTGAGCAACACATTTGATGCCCATCGCGTGCTGACAGCGGCTTACAAGCATCTCGGTGTTGTGCATGCAGTGCATGGCCACCTTGGAAATGCAGCCTATGCTTATGGCCTATGGAGAAAGTTGTATAAAGCAGGTAGGCGATGGTAGGCGTGTGATGTTGTAGGCAGTCCTGTCAACGTTGCCGCATTGCCCTGTCCTGCTAGCAACTGCTAGTACATGAGCATGAACATACGAACGAAAAGGCGCCCGTTGCCAAACCCAAGCGCTATCACGGGCTTGCAGGCATGGCGGGGCTGCAGCGCAGGACAAGGCGGCCGAAGCCTTGTTCCATTCGTACTTTGCAAAAGAGACGCCTGGCATTGCCCTGGAAACCCTCCCATCAGATGTTGCCCCTGGCCACTGCAAAGAGCACTCTAGAGGTGCTGCCTCAGCCCTCAATGGAGCAACATAGTCGCCAAATAATGCTAAGTGCACTTCATATCACTTCGAGATTTCGAGGAAATGCCTCCTCAATATCATCATCGATCTTTCTTTTCAGGAAGGCGCCCAACGACCCAGAGGAGCTGAAGGAGGCCGCCAAGGCCGCGGGCCTGGATGCCACAGCCTTGCGCCGCGGGCAGCAGATTGGACACCGGGGAAGAACGATAGAAAGATTACGGGTGCCATTGACATTGGTGTCATACATCTATAATCAATTATAATCACCTATAATATCTTTATATATGAATATAACTACATACACATGTTAAAAGTTTCACACAGTTTTCCAAATGTATTAAACCTACGCGGAGAGAGCTAGCCCTGCAGAGAGAGAGAGGGAGAGATGATAAATATTGACATCACACGTGCAAACATAAGCCTGTACTTGTAACAGGCCCATGCAATCCCATGCACGCACACACACAAAGAAAAACGTGCATATAAGAGTCACAAAGACAGTTGTTACGGTATGTGTATACATATATATATTCAGAGGGATGTTTGACAATACGAGCTCCTGCTCAACATGAAGTACCTATCTCAATGGTTCTTGCGTGAAACTTGCCATCCCAACCCCACCATGCCAAGATGCCAGAAAATGTGAGCAGCATCGCTCGAGAAGATGGCATAACGAATCGAATGAATCAATGACGAATAAATTTACATTTCTTGTAGCAGTAGCACCTTTGGCGAGAAACCTATGAGTGTGGACATATGTAAATTATCTCACCCAGCCCAGCACACACACTCTCTCTTTCTAGCAGCTGCGGTCCATTGGTGGTATTTTTGAATTGAGCTTTCAGCTTTGTCCCCTCGCTTCAGCCCACTCACACAACCAAGCCAGCACAGCTGCCCTTGCAGCTGCTTCTGTCAAAGAAGCACGACCAGCTTTACGATTCCCCAAAGGTGCTGCAGCACCTGACGACCCCGATGGCCCTGAAGACAAACTCGGATCAAATGACCTGGAGTGAGTTGCCTTGTTCTTCCATTTTTCACCATGAGGTAAGGACCCTTGAACATATGGAGAACCAGCGCCCTGGTAGACGGCAATGGAGCACCCTGCAGGCACGGCTAGGCTGCTCAAGTCTGGCCTTGCATCCAGCTGCACAAAGGGCTCTGGCAAGGTCTCTGACACATGTTGCTCTCCACCACAGGGTTCCTCCATCGTCCTGGCTCTCTTGGCAGGCGGACTGCTTGCTCTTGGTGAAGCGGCTTTGGCTGTCCCATTGCTCTTTTGGTTCAGCTCAGAACTCTCCAAGATCTTGCTCAACAGTTCCGCCTCACATCGTGAGTCCAGCTCAGGAGGTTCATGATCAGACTGGTCACCCTCATCCTCTCTCGACCCCTGGCTTGCTTTCTCTTTGAAAAATGCCAAGATGTTTGCCTTGGCCTCTTCCGAGTAGCAAAAATGATCCAGCAGCTTCCCAACTCGAAGTTTGTTGGTGCAATTCCCAGGAAGCGCCACCCCACACAAGGTACACAAGCCTTTCAAGCACTCTGCTGATAATCCTCAGGCAACTATGATTGACATTCAACATCAAACACAAAGCAACAACCATTGAGGACTTTCCACCAGCAGTCATAGTTTCAAAGTAAACCACAAATGAACTGTCTTGAAACAGCACAAAAACACATATGCCAAATGAAAAGACATACATCAAGAGTCTGTGCGCATACTTCTCAAGAGCTGTGTTCACCAGTGGCACTGCTGGCTGCAGCTCCAATCTAAACTCAATGGTTTGGTCCTGCTCCACCAGCTTTGGTGTGTAAGGAACGAAGCTCACATCCAGCGGCTTTTCCATGATGATGTCCTGTAGGGCAAAACCAAATCCTATGATCTAGTCGACGCCCATGTTTGGTCATGAAACATATTTGACTGAACACCTAAACCCAAGAAATATTTAGTCGCAAATTGCATTGAAGCACCCGCTCTGATCCTGCATGTCCCAAGACAACACATTGATGCGAGCCCACAATGCCCCATCTTCGTCAAGGATTTGCAGAGGCCATGCCTTCAGGTGAACATATGGTGCATCAAAGACCAAGAAGTGCTTCTCCCCAATGTGCAGCACCTGTACAAATCAAATCAAACACTGCACTGTCCCAAGGTTCTTATCGCAAAAAACAGGTCCAGTTAAATTGGTTTCCACCGAATTGAATCCAATATTGGAACACTCAGCAGACAACACACATTGTATATCAGATCCGATATTTTACCTTCTGACATTAGAAACACCTTCTGCTCCCAGTCTGCTCCCAGTCTACAACATTGAACCCAAGGAAAGGTGAGGTTTAAGGATTAAGGAAAGGTAGGGCTTAAGATTGCGACTTGCCAAGCTTTAGAATACTGCACTTTTAGAACCAGCGTACACATATATAGTTGAAGACAAATTCAATATATATGTAAAGGCACCTCCCAACCCCAGCCACAACAATGAGCCATTAAACAATTCGGCACCTGCCCACTTCGCGCCAACTGGGCGGTCCAAAAGTGCGTATGGCATCCATCAGTGGCTTTCATAGCTGACCAAATGTTGAGACACTTTCTGGTGAGATGATGTGGGGAAATTGTGGCCGCTCGGATCATTGAGTTGAAGCCAACTAGTCCTGTATCACTGGCACATGCCCTTCCAGAATCAAAGACGGCTTTCTTGATGAACTGAGAAGGCTTGATGCCATTGAAGTCCAAGTCGGTGGGAGTCTTGAACTCCTTGTACCGCTCATTGAGTCCTTTGCAGCTGACAGCCTGCAGCTGCTCCACCGAAATCTCCTGGCGCTGCTGCTTTGATTCTCCCAAGCGGTCATGTCTAAATGCAGCATCAGCCCCCAAAGTTGAACATGGTTCTGGGAACCAGGCTGCCACACGTTCTCGAAGATCACTGGTGCATTGCCAACCTACCTCTTCACATGCAGTCATGATTTCTCGGTAGGCAAACCAGGACAAGTGAGGAACCATTTTACATGGATATTGTCGGTGACATTGACCACTCTTCTCCAAGGACAAGAGAAAAAGCCACTCACGCTTCATCTCGCAGAGGGTCTCATCAGTCAACTTCCTGTCTCCACTCAGAAGCAAAAAGAACTTCCAAGGAAAGTGCTGGTACAGGAGACCAAACTCACAAAAGTGGCGGATGACTGCAATCACAAAGCGCAGGTGCACAGACACGACAAACTCAGTGTCCCCATCACAGCCCTTGCACACATCCCTCACATGGTTGATCCCCAAAGACGATTCCAGTGCCTGCCGGCAGAGTTCAGCCCACTGAGTGCACATAAAACGAAGAACTCGAGGCTGAGCGCCAGGAGCAACATCGCTCTTCACCTGTGCAACAAATGAATCTGGCAAATGCAACAGATGAATCTAGCAAATGAACCTAGCAAGAGGAGCTATTGTATATATATATATAGCCAACCCCTCCTAATTGAAGCGTGAACCAAAAGGAACATGTTGTTCCAGCAGCATTTTCTTTTTCAAAGTTCACTCAGCTCTGGAAAGCAGGTGCCTCCTGAGCCTGGAATGTCCGAAAGGGAAGCAGGCAATACATGGCCGTCTTTGCATGTGCCAACGATGTGGGGCTCACCAAAACCTGGCTGACTGCTAATACAATAGACTGACTTGTCACTCACCCCAAAAATTCTTCATTATGATTGATTGAAGCATCTCAAACATTTGAAGCATAAGAGCAGCCTGCATTGGGAAATCAAATAAGAAGGAACTTCCAAAGTTGGAAAGGCCAACATTTTTGCCTAGCTACTCGAAGAACTCGAGGAAGTATCTTCTCAGACTCTTTCTTATTCGATGAGTTCTTCTCTGACTGCTGCAGTTGCTCCAATTGCCCAGCCAGCGCAGCGAAAGGTGAAATGCCTTCTAATGCAAGTGCCATCAAATGAAAGAACAATCGCATGTGCCAAGTGCGATGAAGCTTGGAGAAACTGTCAACCCAATCGCACCACCTTCCCAACTTGTGTTGGCCTCCAGTGCGGTATCCCCCCTTCGCGAAGTTGCACAATACCTCCTTCAGCTCAGCCTGCGTAGTTGTAGGCGACAAGGAAAGGTCATCTATGATCCCTGGTCCACATATGTCTAGCAAGACATGGGGTAAGGGAAGCAAATGAACCAAGCGATGGGCATCCTTCATCCTCCTTCCAAACATTCCAGAATTCCATGGAGCTTGCTCACTTTTGAGGATCAGAAGAGACTCCTTCATGGCAAGGTACACCTCGTCCACATCATTCATTGCAAGCATTTCTTCTCGATGCAGCTTATGACAGGTGTCTCTGTGACAGAGCATGGCGATGCCACTGTTGGCCAAAGCAATTGCTGAACCTGTTTCCGCTTCATCGGTAAGACTGCTAAAACGGACAGTGGTGTCAGGCATATTGCTAGGGACTGTGCACTGCCAGGTGGTTTGCTTGGTGACCGAATTCCAGTAGTAAGGCCTGGGGGTGCCACTCTCATCCACTACATGGCAACGCACCTCACACTGCATTGGGGGTCTGAGAGGAATCATTGGCTCACCATCACCAAGACGCAGCTTCAGAAGATAGTCCAGGCTTTGGTTGAGAGCAAGAACTTTGCGTCTTGTTGGCGCCTTCTGCTGAGCACACAGGACAGTCTCCTTGGAGGGGAGCTCCTGCTTGGTAAGTTGGTGCAAAGGTACTTCCACATCAACATCCTGGATTGCGAGCAGCAGCTCCTCAGGGCCCTTTTCATATGGCTGCTTCAAAGCAGGAATGGTTGAGCAAGGAGCACAGCATACAACACCATCGGAAGCGATGTGAATGGACATGATCTCAGATGTTGACAGGCTTGACAGCTTGACACAAAAAGCAAAAGTGAGCAAACTAATTAAACAAAGCCTTGCAAACACAGTTAACAGTTAGGACTCTAGGACAGTGACAAATAGCGAGCAAAAGAAATCAAGGCAAAAGCAGGCAAGCGGCATTCCACTTTCCAACACAGGCACAGTCAAAGTAGAAGGCGATGTGTTTGTAGACCTGCTTTGACATGACTGAAGTCATCATCTCCGATGCACAAGACATGTAGGCGGTCACATACTGGCAAGCAGCTGAAATCGCCGAGGAACTGTTTTTGCTTCCTGGCACTCCCTGCAGCTCCTTGCACTC